GTCCTAGTCAAGTGTTCTCACAGATGCTTATGTCCACCCTATCATGTCCTAGCATTTTCACTGTCAAATATTTCCACCAAAGAAAGCTTACATGCAAGGCTTCTTTCATGTCTAATTGGGGTGGGAGTCCTCTCAATGAGAAGATCCCAAAAGTGGACACTTTCAGGTCAAGTGATCCAGGAGGTAGCAAGGACATGGGCCCTTGAGTATGCAACAGCAGCCCACATAGCTGTGCGTGAGAGGCAATCATGGGGAGGGAGGGCTCTTGAAATGTTCATTCTAGGACTGCCTCCGGGCACTGACGAACGGAGCAGTGGCTGGCCAGGTCTGAGCAGGGGCATGTCTTTTTAGAAGTTGGCTACACAGCTGTTGCACAGATCTAATCTGACTCCGGTCAGTTATTACTAAATTAGCTCACTTACAGCCAACCGCAACTGCCATCCATGGGGGGGGGGGTCATCGTTAAACAGCGTGGAGGGTGGTGGGACAGAGATGGAGCCCTAGAGGTAGGCACTTGGATGAGACTGAGACCCGAGGCTTCCAGGAGGAATAGGTACAAAGCCTGTGTTCAAGAACTTTCCTAGTACAGTGACTGGGCTGTCAAAACCTCCAGTCACTGTACCAAAGTTTCCAGCCGACATCACGATTAGTGATTCAACACTGAAGGACAGCGTTAAGTTCCCACCGTGGCCTAGAGATTGTGCCTGGTGCTAACAGCATGCAAAGGATGAGATGGGACGCAAGAAGGATATGACTAGAATCTGCCTAGGGAAGGTCCGAATCGCAGTACTTGAAAAGGGAGACATGGAGATGCAAGAACATCCAAACACACCCTCAAGCACCCTCAATACTCAAGAGTGTCATCAGCAGGGAAGGCTTCTCAGTAAGCCTTCATATTTAGCTATGTCATAAAGGGGGAGGGGGAGAGACGGGAAGCAAACGAACAAACCAGGAAGACAAGTCCATGGAGCGGGCTATGGAAGTAACTATCATAGTGACAATTAAAATCCAAAAGGCAGATGATGTAAGCCTAGTTCAGATGTTAGCACCACCACCAGTTTACAAATGTAAAACTTTAACCAAGATCTCAACTGTTCTCGGCCTCAACTTCCTCGTCTATAAAATGGGAGTGAGTCCAGTCAGCTCATGAAGAGAATTAAGTGAGAGGTGTAACGTCCTTGGGCTGGCCCAAAGTAATCACCTGCAAAAGGCACGAGGCTGTCCTTACAAACGCGCCCATTTATTCTCGTTCTGAGCCATTGTGAAAGTGACAAAAAGGATACTCTGAGAAATCCCAGGCTTTGGGGAAGCATGAAATCCAAAGAGGCTTTGGGTTTAGGCTCTTGGAGAGCCCTGTGGGGAGGCATAACGTGTTAGCACAGTACAATGTGCTGGCACAGGGGAATAATGCCTTGTATCTTGGCTTACACAATAAACAGATAAGTTTCCTCCGGTTCTCTCTTGTAGTCTGCCCATCCCAGAGCTTTATGGCATGAGTCACTGCTGGTCTGTAAATAATGGATCCTGAGGAGGAAGCACTAAAATGCTGACAAACCTCCCCGCACCCTTTCCCAGCACACAGCCCGTGAGGTCATTCACCTTTCTTGTGGGCAAAGCTGTGCCGCCACCACGCCTCCACCCACACACCCTTCCTTTTCTTTTCTCCCTGCCCCATCTTGGAAAAAAAAAAAGTGAGAATAAAATGACAAAGGGGAATTCCAGATTAGTTTAAACAAAAGTCAGGGGGACAGGATTTGTTTTCAGAAGGAAAAAAAAGCAGAGCCTTTCAGTTGCCACAGAAAGCATTGCTCCTGGGGGCTTAGCTGTTCTCTCTCTCTTGATCTGTGTGTGTGTGTGTGTGTGTGTGTGTGTGAAAGAGAGACACAACAGGAACCTGAGGCAACACCTGCTGAGGACAGACTCAGGAACACAGGATCTCCTGGGCTCAGTGCTCCTGCCAATAAAGATCTACTTCCTGAAGGCTCAGGCTCCTCAGGGGGAAGGGTGGGTCGGGGGGGGGGGGGGGGGGGGCTGGAGAGGGTGTAGCACTCCCTTAAAACAGCCATCGTGTGACAGAATAGCTCATGAGAATCCCAGACTTCAGCACAAACTATTTTACCTCATACCCTTTGCCTCATTTTGGTGAAACCAACTCTCTAAAGAGCCCTTTTTTTACCCAGCTTCCCCCAGGAGACTACCAGGTAAAATGTCACGTGTAATCCGTCTCTGGCAACAAGGATGGCGGGGTCACCTGTGGCCATGGAAGAGTGGCCTCCAAGATGGCCATTTGAAGATTGGAAATGCTCCTGGAGCTGACAGCCAGCTTGATGTGGAGAAGGAACAGGGAGCTATGTCACTTACTGTCTCCCTGTGAAAAAGAACAGCACTTGAGCTGGGGAAACTGCCTGACTTATTTTAAAAGGGTGGTGTATAAATAAACTAGGTAAATGGCAGAGTTGGAGGAGACGCAGTTGCTTAGAGTTAGGGAAGAAACTGAAGAAGGTCAGCCCTACAACTTTCTATGCTAAACTCTCCTTAGGGTTGAGAAAAAGGAGTCTTTAGGGGCGCCAGCTATATTCCTTTTCTTTTGTTGAGTTGTGGGGAGGAATTATATTAAGAGGTCAGTTTTTAAAACTGCTGCTCATTGCAATGGCTGTGTCTTTGAATCTCCAAATGCCTCCCTCCACTTACCTTGTGTGGTTATAACCCCCCCGCCCGCCCCATCTGAAAGCTCGAAGCTCTTAAGAAGCTTCAGTGAACTTTGAATTGTTCTAATTTCAGCGCTATTTGGAGGCCAAGAAGCTAAGAGCTTTCTTTCAAAATGAGTGGGTTTTCTTTTTTTTTTTTTTTTTTTCATGAGAAGCTCTAACCTCAGGTTTTCTCCGCTTGGCCAGATCTGTACGTTTCAGCAATTGGCACCGCAGTCTATCTAATGCTACGAAAAGGGAGAGATAACTACACTGCTAATTGTACACATTGGCCTCTAAAACCTTCTAGAAGCAAAGAAATGGCTTTGCAGGTTGTCCCAGAGTATACAAGCTCTGAAAGGGTTGACTGTGGCCAGTCTCCATGGAAACATCAAGCTCTTTTCATTGTCTTCACATTAGCAATGACCCTTAGTTCTCTGCTGTAATCATGTTGGATACCTGCTGTCGCCTTTCATCTAAAACTTCAGGGGACTTACTCAAGAGTTAAGACGAAGCTTTGCAGCCAGGCATGACAGCACAGGCGCATGCCTTAATCCCAGGGCCCAGGGAGGCAAAGGCAGGCAGATCTCTGTGAGTTTGAGGTCTTCCTTGTCTACAAAGCAAGTCCAGGAAAGCCAAGGCTACACAGAGAAACCCTGTCTCAGAAAACAAAAACACCACTCCTCCCCCCACCACCAAAAAAAAAAGAAATAGCTTTGCGTTTTGACTATGACCTACTTTTTTTGTAGAAGAGGTGATGGAGAAAACAATAACCACAAGCCATTCATGGAAAGGGGGTGGGCATAAAAAAAGATGCCAAATAATTTACAATTGATAAATCTTAAAATGTGAGAAAGATTCATGTACAAAAGATAGTAAATGGCCCGGGATCATGCATTTGGACAATTCTTCAGGTTGGTGTGTGTGACGTCTCTTTAGCTTATTAGAATCATGTGAGATGAGCAGAACATGAGTCAACCCAGTTAAGAGCTCATGGTCCCACAGCCAATCATGTCTCTCTCTCTCTCTCTCTCTCTCTCTCTCTCTCTCTCTCTCTCTTTCCTTTCTCTCTCCACACACACAAACATATTTCCAGGCATTTAAGAACAGCTCCATTCACTAGTTAAAGCAATACTAGTGAAAGAGTAAACAGATGTGTTACACCAAAAGTCTTTTGAAATACTTGAGGACAAGACTCCAGTTGATCCTTAACACTTCTGAGGTAGAAGTGTATATGCTACTGGCCCAAACTCACGCAGAAAAAGCGCTGTACCCAGAGATGCGTTTTGGAGGTGGAATGGTTAGTTTTATACGGACACATGCTTAAAGGGTTAGTCTGTCTGCCTTTCTCTCTACCTTCCCATTAATAACTGCTTAGGAACCACATTTCAAGCTGCAGCATGAAGCATTTGTGTTACTCTATAAACAATGGTTCTCAACCCCCCTAATGCTGCAACCCTTTAATGCAGTTCCTCATGCTGTGGTGACCCCCCACCATAAAATCATTTCACTGCTACTTCATAACCGTAATTTTGCTACTGTTCTGAATCATAGTGTAAATATCTGATATGCAGGATATCTTATATGAGGCATCAAAGGGGTCCTGACCCACAGACTGAGAACCACTGCCTCATAGCAATGTTGTTACGACAATGACAACAAAAACAGTGTTACCTGAATACTTGACCTTCATTTACATACAAAACTTGACCTAATTCTCTATAATCCCAAATTTACCATTTCAAGAAGGAAGCTGCTCATCCCTCCCAAAGAGGAGCAGGTTTTTTTCAAATGCTTTGAAAACATGACATGCTACAATGACATCACTGAAATCTGCACATCTTCTACCAAAGCGACCTCTTTGAGATGGCCACTACTCATAGAGATGTGTGGGTCTAGTTTATTAAAAGCTGCCTTACTTCGTAGCGGCACTTGCATAGGACGCCTTCCTCCCAATGTTTCACAAGGGACCCTACGGAACATGAAAAACAAACATTGGGAGATTGAACATCTTCTCCCCCCCCCCCCCCCGCAGACCACAGCAGTGGCGACTGACTGCCACCATTCTTCAAAGGACCAGGAGATATGGCCTTTGTGTTCATGATAAATGCTGAAGAAATACTGACCGTTTACAGAACCTCACTTTGTAATTTTTAAGTTCAGTAACAGAATTGAAATCCCAGGTTTTGTTTGGAATGGTCTGGGGTAAACGGCTCTTTTCCTGTTTTAGAGGCGATGAGGATAGGTATTGTGGACTCTAGCATCACGAGCTGGCTCCCCCGCTGACTCTTCTGGGCCTTTCTTCCTTCACAGGCAGCATCGCCGCCATCACCGTGACTGTCATCGCTGTGGTGCTGTTGGTGTTCGGAGCTGCGGCATATCTAAAGATCAGGTGAGACCCTCCTTCCCCTTTGAAAAGAGCAGGACTCTGCTTCTGTGGCTTCAGGCTGAAGGCTGTTTTGCCACGGCCTTGTTCTATGATGGGCACCTCGTCCCTTAGAAGAAACACTGGCAGGGAAGTGAATGGGGCTGGTAAACTAACCCCACACTAGACAGGGGCAGATACTTTGAAGAAGAAAGAGCAGAGTTTATGGCCTGATCATGTCATGGGACAAGGTTTATCTAGAGTCTGGAGACTATGCAGGCATCTGCCCTGAAATCACTCCACTGCCCTGGGGAAGCCACGCACCTCAGGGAACTAGGGCTTCCTCATCTGTGGGCTGGGGCAGAAGGCGCGATCAGAGGTCACTCAGCTCTGATGTGTGTTTACTAGTTCTAACCAAATACATGCGAGATAAAATGAAAAGGTAGCATTTTCTAGAAGCCTGAGCGCTGGCGCTGGGTTATGTCCCTATACTGTTAATTTTTAGAAGGCTTTTCTCCTATAAAGGGAAGGTGAGCAGAGAGGGTAGCTGAGACTTCACACTCCTTAGCCAGACAGAAAACTACAGCGTTCTTCAAAGCCCTGTCCTTGTTTCCCGTCACTCTGTAAAATCCGGAAGTCCTCAAAGCCACTTTACTCACAGTGCCTGCCCTTCCAGCTGTAAATGCCAGATGGCATGTGGCGGTCTCATTTACCAGCCTGTGTAGCGCAGAGGACAGAAGGACATGTTCTGGAGCCACGAACATGGCCTCCTTGACCTCCAATGCATTGACTACACAGCAGCTGGTACCATCTCTTTAGAAACTCCTTCAACCCCATCACCCCATTCCTCCACATTCCCTTGGAGCTCTCTTCCGCATTTGAATTAAATTTTAGCTCCTCAGGCTGACCTAGGAGCCCTTCAGACTAGGTCATCCCTAGTCTTGCATCCCTATCTCTGTCACCCTCCACTTCTGGGGTCCAGACTCCAGCTCCCCTCCCATTCTCAGAGCCTTCTGACCCCGCCCTCCCGGGCCTTGGTCTATCCATAGGCCCCCTTCCTGTCCCTTCCCCCAACCTCCCATGGCTTTGTTTGAAGTTCTTCCCTATGCCATGTCTGTGCCAGAGAGATTTTATGTTGAGCCTGGGACCCTGTCATTTATCCCTTCTGTTCCTTCATTACATTCATCCCTGATGTTATCAGTATTTATTGTGCTTTTCGTGTACTTGTTTACTTGTTTATTCTCTCTTACTCACAAATATTTGAGCCTCATGGACTAGATCTCATGTAAAAGCTCAGTAACAGACACAGACACACACATGCACACCAGCACCCATCAGGGAATGCGCCTCCTCCTTTCCTTCTATCACCCCATCTTCTGTTATCACTTAGCATCAAATCAATCTAATAAGGGCATCGAGAACGAGAGTGGCTTGTAGCCTCGTCTTCATCTACATACAAAGAACAGAAGAGAATGGTTTTCAAGGAAAAATGGAAACAAAAAGGCCCGAGTGACCCATGTTCAAAGCTGTCTTAAAAACACACAGACATTTCCTTAAGACTAGTTTATTGCTACACCTATCCTGTATTTATGAGTTGAGTAGCTTCATTGATACTTCGTAACAAAGAGTATTCTGAAAATATATTCCTGCCCCAGCCAAAGGAACTTACAGATAAATTATAATCATTTTTCAAATCACCAATGGTGATATTCTGTGGAACCATATCACAAAAAAAAAAAAAAAAAAAAGACCTTTATATGAATGGCTTCCCACTTGCTCTATCCTCCCCACACAGATACAAAAAGAAAGGTTACAATCAGCTAAAGAACTCCTTGTCTTGACTTTAGGAAAAAATTCTAATTTACCATCTCAAACAAATACTACCTTTTGGCAGGCAGGCTTGAACAGTGATTAAGGATTTGGATTCTAGATGCTGAGAGATGTTAGTTCAAGTCCCAGCCCCACCACTTCCTAGCAACCTGGGCATGTCATGGTAGATCACTAGCCTTTGCCCCTCACCTGAGAAGAGCAGTGAGTTTAACTACCTGATGGAGGGTGAATGGGAACTGTGTGCCAAGGACAAGCCCTTCTTTCATCACCATCAAAACGGTAAGCTAGAAAAAATCTGAGTAACATGACCATACATACATACATATATACATACAACACACACGCACATTTGTTCTCCAAACAATGGGGCCACCTGAGTGATGTGACAGAGTCCTGCCATCAGACAATGGACCACTCTTAGAAAACTAGAATGCCATCACAACTTGTTCTGTGCACTGAGGAAAACTGTATAAAAGGCCACTTTTAAACTAGATTGCTCCCCAGCCCTAACACCAGATAAATTCAGGGGTAAAACTGAATGAATTTCTGGCCTTTCTTCCCCAGGTCTCTCTTTTCCAAAGCAGATGGTCCATGCTAGTGTAAGCATAAGGGCTTATACTTACACTTGGCTCTGTAAGCTCAAGGAGAAGGTAGTCACACCCATGTACTAGAAAGCCCCTGAGGAAAGCCCCTTTCTACTTCTCCTTTACGCTTTGAGGCAGGGGAGAGATGGTAATATAAGGAGGCTAATTGTTTTCATTAGTCTCAGGCCATGCTACCTTGCCAGATTCTTGGGAAATACCCCTAATTGATCCTTCATCAAAAACATAGCCAGGTCAATTGCTGTCTGTCTCTCCCTCCCCCCTTTTGAGTGTGTATGTGCATGTATGTGAATATATATATATATACATATACATATATGTGCATACGTGTTCGTGCATGCATGTCTAGCATTAGGCAAGCTTCACCTTGGCTAGAAACCTGTTCTGCTTCTCTCGTCCCATAGTTCTAAGAACAATAGCATGCAACTGTTCTCTTACCTGATGGGCTCTTACCACTTGGCCACTCCCTGAAATCCTGAATCATATGGGAGCTGTTAGCATGGCCTAAATCCACAGGCCACAGCCCTAGCTCAGCAATGGCCCTGTGAGTGCAAAGCCACTGGAAAAGGCACCGTCACCAACTAAACACAGTGCAGCTCACCAGTTCCGCCGACAGGGCTCTGTGCCTTCCCCTTTCTCCCCACATGTCCGTTTCCTCCAAAGGCATCGGTAAACTCGCTAGCCATCTGTCTCCACGCTCTGCTCTCCAGTGACCTATGACCTCTAGCTTTGTCACAGTGTCTGCTGCCTGGAGAACCGTATCTTTTGATAACGTTAGCCGTCAAAGCATGTTGAACTGCCCTGAGCTTCTTAGATTTCTCCTGTCAGGGACCCATCTTGACCAGCAGAAGGTTTCATGTGGATAAGGGGAAAGAGGAGCTCTGCATTAGAGTTCAACACCATGCTGGCCTTTTCACCATCGCTGTCAAGGTTGGTTTGAGTATGAAAAGAGGAGTAGAGAGTGCCCAAAGAGACTATCTGTGGCGGGAAGCACAGGACCAATGGACAACTGTCTCAACAGCCTGCACGCTCTTCCTTTGTCAAATAGGACCGCAATAGAACACTTAACTCCAGAGTGTGGTGAGGATTAAGTTAGGATACCTGCACAGGCTCAGTGGGGAGGCAGAGGTGTGCTACCAGCTGGAGTTGCTTGCCATGACATCCATCGGTTTCAGAACTGTGCGTGTCACGTGATGCTTACTGAGGCGGTAGCCTCACACATGAAGCTGGAAGAACTATGTCCTTCCTTGGCATTCCCACTAGGTGGACACAAAGAACCCACAGGGGAAAGAGAAGAGGGGGAGAAGAAGATGCTGTCGGAGCTCAGCAGTCACTGCGAGTTGTAGGGCAGCTTCCTGGCGAGGTTGCACTTGTGTTAGACATTTGTAAGCAGAAAAGATCTCAGGCAGCCTCTGCTCCAAGGCTCTGCTTGTAGATTTAACTGGGAAAGCAAACCCTCCCTACCCCTCACAAAAGGGTGTCTTTAATTAGCGATGATTGAAGTGTGGTATAAAAGTCAGTTCTGTTTTGTTTAAATTGCTCAAATCTGCTCAGGTAGGAGATAAGCTCCCCACACGAGTGCCTACGTCTGCAGGAGTGGATGAAGCTATGATTAGGTAACCCTTCATGAAAATAAATGTGATCTGAGTTTTAGAGGCAGCGAGGCCTGGCTCTTCAGATGTCTTTGTCAGAAGCCGGCTGTCTCTTGCTCCGTGTCTCACAGTGACTGCAGATCGCTTCGGCTGGTTGTTGAGTTTAATGACTAGCCCCGGCCAGCTGCGAAGGCCAGGATCTTTTAGAATTTGTCCATGTGCTGAATATTTTCAGCTTAGCTTTTGGAGTTCTGAGTGTCTAGTTTACTGGATTCCCACTTCTGCGGCTCTCTGGGCTCTGCTGTGTAAAATTGCTGGGTTTTTGTTTTTTTTGGGGGGGGGCATATTACAAACAATTTCCAGGGGTTCTGATTCTGATTTGGTAGGTCCCTTATATTTACACTCCTAGCAAGCACATCAAGGACATTAAGGGACTAAGTCTTCAATGAAGAGTTCAATGAAAGGAGCCAGGCAGGAAAGTGACCATTAGGAATAGAGGGTCACCGGTGGAAACAGAAAGAAGAAAGAGCGACAGCTGCATAGACATCTTTGCTAATGGAAGATAAAGAGTCTGATGCTTAATTGCGGGTGGCTAATGACTGCAGCATTCCGAAGAACTTAGTCCTGTCTTTCTATCTGCGTTTCCTTCCTGCTTAGCTCATGATAAGCACTAATGACTGAAACGTGGGGGTCTCCTCTGCCAAAAAAGTGAGGACTCAGGATGTATTAGTCAACACAGGTGGAGGCTCTGCCAAGAGCTGTGCTGTACTGTTGGAAAAACAGCAGGTGTTCTCTAAAATATGTTTTGTTTAAACATAAAGTGTAACACCACACTCACCTTCAAGGACAGTTGAGCACTGATAAAAAGATAAGATAAAATGAGAGGCTACTCCTTATTTGCCTTCCTGGTTTTGCTTTTAGCTTGCTAAACCATACAGTACAGGAGGAGTACAGGAAGCGTGGTGCCCTTGATCGGGGTTCTGTGGGCACTGAGCTGAGTGCTGGAAAGCCACAGCATGGCACAAGATCTGGCCTTAATTCTCCTCCTCCTTCCTCAAGCAGAGCTTTTGACCTCCAACATTCTTTACTGAGTTGTGTTTTTTTTTCTACTTTGCCAACTTTGTACAATGTTGCCTCAAGCCATGAGAACCCTCTCTAGTGTTGACCCAATTAACATGTGCACAATTTATCTGCCACTAGATATAAACAGTCACCTTCAAGTATGATATAACCATGGCATCAAAGCCAACATATTAAGCATGCAACAGTTACAGAGAAAGCAAGATATAGTTTCTCCCCAAGAAGTTTATTTAAGAGGAGACAATTTGCAACAAATGGAAAACATAGTGATTAGGGCAGGTAGCCATCTGTATTGAGAAATCACACAAGCAAAATTTCCTTGACCCAATAATGACACCGCTCATAACACCTGCTCTTCAGATTGAACTCAGAAAAAGAAGTGTTGTCTTACAGAGTGAAGATATGGTTTTATTATTGGGCCTCCCATTAAATAATATTGACAAAGCTATCTAAGTTCCTTTAGGCCTGTTTTCCTAATGTTGGGAGTAGAGAGAAGTTTCCTTTTTTTTTTTTAACTTCTTAGACTCTGCTTACACATGCCCATCTGGAAACATCCCCTTGTCCAATCACAGTGCGCCATGGTTTAAGAAACTCTGGCCCAGAGAGAAAGGTCTGTATGTTCCCTAACTATTCTCCCCTTATGACATACCCACAATTGTGTTTCTTTTCCTCTCTCCACGACAACATCCGATTTACCCGAGCCCAGCTTTAACCCCAGCCTAGCTTCAACCCCAGCCTAGCTTCAACCCCAGCCCAGCTTCAAACCCAGCGTGTCCACCTCTTGCTCCCGTCCCTGTGGGCTCGAGGCATTTACCATTTTTCTCTCGTTATTTCCTTCATTTTGCTTTATCCATCTCCTTTCCATCTCTTTCTTCACTCAGGGGCACTCCCTGTTCAAATGTAAAGACAAAGAAAAAACGAAAGCCAAGATCAGTGCTTTTCTTCGTTCTCCTCGTGTTTGCATGGCAGGTGGCTCTTTCGATACAGCAAACCCAGGTGTAGCGTTGACCCAAGTGCCTGAAACAACCACAGACTGTGCAGCCTGGTGGCCAGAGCAGTTTTAATCCTCTCACCCCACTTAGTTTATAAGATTCAAATAATTATATCAGAAACTGGCTTTATTGCTATGCCTGGCGCATAGCATCAGTAGTTCAGCGTTCCGTCTTACTGTTTGCAGATTTAGCATGGGCTTGTATAAGTTTCATTATAATAAAAGTTACAAAGCAGTGTCGGCCAATATTTATCGTGTGCCAAGCCTTTAAAATGCATTACCTCACTGAATGCTTCTAACAACTTTAATGCATCTTTTTAACCTGCCATTTTATAAATGAAGGAACAAGGGGGTCAAAAACCTACTCAGGAAATAACATCTATTAACCAAACTGACAGTTTATGAGAATAAAATGATATGAAAGAGATTAAACTGCCACCCGAGGTTAAATTACCGTGAAAGGTGAAGCAGGGGCTTCCCCATCAATGAAGGCATGGGGTCACATGCTTGCCAAACTCACAGCCATAAAGACATGCTGAAAAAGAGGGTGGACTCCAGTGTTGTCATGCCCGGAATCTTGTTTTCTCATGTGGCAGCTCCCATATCTCAGTCAATCCTATTAGTGTTTGGTTAGAACTGGCCACTTTCAGGTAAGTGGAGAGCTGGCTCATGATCTCCACCTACCAAAATGACCTCTGCTCTTCCTGTATACTAAAAAGGCAGGAGTGTGCCTGGGTTGCTGCTTATGATCTCTCTCTTTCCCATGTCCACACGCGTGACTGTGAGCTGATAGTGTAAACCGATTATTTTGTGGGACACTTTCAAGCTCCCAGGGATATACACGGGGTTCACTGAGCCAGTTGCGGGAGCTATATCAGAACCCTGAAGCGAGTACAGCAACGGCCTGGTTCTGGTTGCATGCCGTCTCTTTGCCAATACCTGGCTGATGTCAGTAAGCCATAGGAGGGCAAGAACAATTGTTTTAGCAACTAATATAAGTGGAGCAGATGCTTTTTGTGTCCCTTGGGTTGTGTTTCTACAAGGCTGACTATTCCCTTCTGGCTGAGAGAAGGCTATGGGAAGTAGGCATGTTTGTATGCACTGTATTTAGCATCCGTGATTTCTAGTCCAGTCTCAGCCCTCTGGATCTAAATTCAGCTTGCATGCTCAGGTTCCCAAGGTCTGACTGGCACCTTAGCCCAGCAAGAGTAGAGTCTAGACAGGCCCTCGTGGGCAGTGCACTGTAGAGGCTGTCACTCATGTAAGAATTTGTACGTTAGCATGAACCTCAGAGGCCCTGCAGGTTTGCTTACGTTGGTCCTCCAATCCTGTCCTTCATTTCAGTCTTTAAATGGCCATGCCGTTCCCAGGCAAGCTCCCACCTTCGTGAACAGATGGACCACTGTGAGAACTCAAGATACATCTTTTTCAATTACTGTGTCTTCCACAGACAATTATGGGTGACTTACTGCATGCATATTCTGGATGCTAGAAATAGAACCATGAATAAACATAACAGGCGAATTATCTCTACCCTCCTGAAACATATAGTCTAGCTGAAGAGGAGAAGTAATTACTAAGCAATTATATAAATCATGTAATGTTTTTGGCACATGCGTGAGCTAGGAGTCAGTAAGAGCAAAGGCCCTGAGGCCAGGGCGCTGGGCATGGGAGGCTGAAAAAGTACAGTACACTTGGAGCTGAGAGAGCAAGAGCAGGGCATTTGGTAGCAATTAATTTTTCTCAGAAAAGTAGATGACCCAGAGCCTTTATGACTCCGTGAACCATTGTAAGGACTTTGGCTTATACGCTGACATTAGCAGCCATTCAAAAGTCTTTTTAACATCATTATTATTGTTGCAATTTATTCACCTTATCCCAGCTGTAGCCCTCTCTCCCATCTCCTCCCAGTCCCACCCACCCTCTTGCTCCCCCCCCCATACCCTTCCTCTAGTCCGCTGATAGGGGAGGTCCTCTTTCTCTTCTATCTGACCTTAACCTATCAGGTCTCATCAGGGCTGTCTGGGTCCTCTTTCTCTGTGGCCTAGAAAGGCCACCTCACCAGAGGGAGGTGATCAAAGAGCAGGCAATGGAGGTGGTGTGCTGCAGAGACTGATGAATCAACCAAGGACCATGCATGGAGAGGACCTAGACCCCCTGCTCAGTCTCCGGCATTCAGAAGTCTTGAGGAAAGAAGTGATGCCAATCTGACTTCAGCTTCTTACAGAGATCATTACTGTGCTCCAGCCTGTTAGAATGCCCAGCACAGCCTGGTTAGACCATGTTGCCATTGAACTAAGGGGCTGATCAGACTCAGGGGGAGGGGGAGGAAGCCGAGCTCTGAGAACCATTTTCAGATCAAGGTGATGGTTTTGGTCATATTCAACTTTCTGAATGCCATTTCCCCAAAAGAGAACCACTTCTTTACCCCAGCCTTGGTCTTGAAGATCTACTAAAACTGAACCTAGACACACTTACAAATGACAAGACACCACGAGCAGCATTAACAGCAATAGTGGCCGTAGTTGTGTGGATATTATATTACTTCAGGGAAAAGTAGACCCAGGACCTACACCAAGACGCTGGGCCCCAAGCTCCCCTTCCCTCCCTTTCTTAACTGTGGCAGCGGTGGAAATGGACCCTTTCTCCCTTCTGCACTGAGGGGAAGGAGAAAGATACTCACCAGATCTCAACAGAAAAGGGCAGGCAGGCTCCTGGATGGAAGCTGGTAACTAGGGGCAACACAATCCAGGCTTAGCTTGCTGGGATGATTATGTCTTTCCCTCCCATGGACCTGCGAGCCTCCCGGGTTCAGGCCTCAAGGGATTAACTTGTCCTCAGAGGGCACAGCTTCAAGTAACCTCACCTTCTTCTTCTCTCACAGGCATTCCTCCTACGGAAGGCTGCTGGATGACCATGACTACGGGTCCTGGGGAAACTACAACAACCCTCTCTACGACGACTCTTAACAAAGGAAGGTGGCTGGGGACAAGAAATAACTGTCCTTTATTTATAAGCTTGTCCAGTAGAAGTAATAACAAGTACCTGATGCACACTGAGTGACAATCGCAAGCCCTGTTTTGTTGACATGATTGTTTCTGTTTTCCTCCCTCTCCTCTCGCTGCTACCACAACGTTCCCCCTTCTGGTACAAAAGAACCATTGTAGAAAGGCCCAAGGAGGCCTTATTTCCAGGTGACATGGGCCATCTTTGCACTGACCACGCCAGATACCAGGAGGTGGAGGCCGCACACCCCACCACAGGACCCACTTTGGAAGGACTGAGGAAAAGGCCTCGGAGTTGCTTGGCTGGGGATTTAATTTTAGGGGATCTTTCGGTTTGGGTTATTTCTTAAACTTCTGTGTAGGAAATTATATTAAGTATCAGTGAGGAAAAAGGAAATTAATTCCCAGAGGCAACCACACTGTGTGGAGGACGCAGGGGTTTCTTGATCCCTTTTCAGTCCCTCTTTGCCTGGTTGTGTCTGACAGGATATCTACTTAGTCCTGTAAGCAGAGAGACCATTCTTCCCTGCCTAATTAATGAAAGGTGCGAGGGGGCTGCGCCCAGGAGGAGAGGAGCAGTCAAGGGCAGAGTGATTGCTCTCAGTCTTGGCATGCCCTCAACCTGCTCTCTAGGCCACTGGAAGGCAACGGGGGATCCCAGACCGCCAGCTTTCAGGAAAGTTATAGTTCCCAGAGTGAAGCTGGGAGGTGAACTTGAAAAACAGAAAGGGAGAGGCAACTGGAGGGTAAGGGAAGGGGGAAGAAGAAGAACTTAAGCACATCATGGACCCTCTTGAAGCAAGTAGGAGCCAGCTTTTCATGGTAATGGAAGATATGCAAATCTTGGAGGAACCCATAGAACTCTCACTTGACACCCATAAAGCAATTGGTTTTACTGCCTTACTGTCTATATTGGATAATGGCTGTATGCTATTTAAAAAAAAAAGTAATGTTAAAAGAGGCATTAGCCTATGTGCAGTTGTTCTTCCATAGGAAGCATTTCCATAGGAAGGAGACACCAACACCTACCTTACTCATTCTTCCTTTGAATAAAAGTGAACGTCTCTGGGTCTCCAGTCTCAAAATTCTGTGCAACAAATTTTGAGAAATAGGCATTCTTTTTGCTAGCAGCTACTATGACCCATCAAGAGGTGATTTTGCCTCCCCTCCCTACCCCAGAGGGGGTGACATTTGAAAATGTCTAGTAGCAATTTTTGATTGCCACTAGTTAGTTGGGAGTGTTACTAAGGGGTAGAGACCATGGATCCTGTAAAACACCCTACCTGGCACAGGACAACCTCCACCCCAAAGAACCTCCTAGCCAGAAATATCAAAGGCTGAGCTTGAGATGATCCATGGCAATGCCCTTGCAAAACACTCACACAGCAGGAAGGCCCTTTCATTTTTAACAAAGTGAAACATCAGGGTTTTGTTTGTTCGTTTGTTTGTTTCTCCAAAGTGTTTAGTTTGTTGGCTGATAGGTTGATTTCTGGTGTGTGCAGTTGCCTTATATTTGTCTGTTTCTAGAGAGCTTTATTACAGGGCTACACCACTGTCCTTCTGAAATATCTGATAATGACACCCAGCGTCTTATGTCGATTTCAAGAAGCAGAAAGCATATATCTTAAGATATGTTACATTGTCCTAGGATATCACAGGAAACAAGAAACTATCAATTTTAATTCCTCAGACAGAGCTTGCCCCGTAACTCTGTTGAAGAAGAGCATCTTCACAGCGCTATTTTGAACCCTTCTGGTGTGGAGTTCACAAGGAGGGGTGCTTCCCACCCATCCCGGGACATCCCAGGCTCTGGAGAAAATTCCTCCTAAATCTCAGAAGTGCCAAAAGGAAAGAGAAATCCTCAAATATAGGCCATAAACAAAGTGGGTAGCAAGGCATGGGTATGCAGAAATGAAGATATTCCTGAATATGAACTAATACACACACACACACACACACACACACACACAGAGAGAGAGAGAGAGAGAGAGAGAGAGAGAGAGAATGCAAGGGTATATGCCTTATGGCCACACTTGTTCTAAACAAATGTCCCTCCTTCCTACCCTGACCCCTACACAGGTCTCCAGTTAGGCAAAGGGCAAACCAATACCCACAGGGTATTCTACATGTCATTTTCCTCCAGGAGCCAAAAACATTTTCTGACACATGACACAAAGCTCTCCATGAAACACCTTAGGGAAAGTGTGCTTCAGATACGGTTTCTGGGGTAAGTCCTAGGCCAGAGGAACCACTTTCCTCCCAGGACCCCTTACCTGTTAGAAATCAGGGACACAGCAAGAATTTTTTCACACCAAAAGATGCCATTGTGTATGGGCATGGGATTGCTGCTGCCCTGATCAGCCTCTAATTGCTTCAGCAAAATGTAAAGCAGTCATATATCCAACAAGGTGACTGACAGCGTCCCCTCAAAACTCCAAAATGACCCTAGCCGTGTTTGTCACTATAAAATGTGCGAGTGTGAGAACTTAACTGTGCCAAGTGTATTTTTCTGCTTTTGAACTGCTCAAAAGGTTTCAGCATTTTAATTCTACAAATATTCATACACACACACACACTGAAATATATGCCAATAATTGATATCCTTTACCTCAGGGAGAGTTGGTCCAAGTCTACACAAGGGAAGTTAGTGGTCCTAGTGCATCTAAACAGTCACACCCTACTATGGACTGGACTGGCCAGAATGCTTTGGAGAGAAAGTCAGAGCAGAAAGAAAGCTAGGAGCTTCTCAGTGGACTGCAAATGATCGAGGAATGGTATGCAACTCCGCTTTCTTTTCCCGTGACCCCAGTGGAACCCCTTTTCCTCCCTGCACAGTTGTGGCTTCACTTATAAAATGGGGGTGATGCTTTCACAGTGTGACGTCACCCCTTCCTACCTCACAGACCTGTTGTGAGGATTAATGAAATTGTATCTACAGTGTTTTCAGTTTCTGGAGAAAAAAACAAACTATTTATGGACGTTTCAAGTATTATATACTATATGAGTGATCTCAGTTTCTTCTTTGCTGTAATACCGGTGTATTGTTTTTACTTAGTCTATAAAAGTACAGTTAATGTCACGGCCACATGAGATGGCTATCAGAGCGCTGAACTTCCCTCCTGCACAACTGGCTGACGCAGGGTTAACTATTCCTGGGACCACAAAGAGTGATCTCCCCTCCAACTGAGAAGACAGACGGCCCAGGACACAGGTCTCACAGATGTGCATCAGAATCCAGGTTAGGATGCCTGAGCACTAATGGCAGAAGGCCTCTGACTTTCAAACCCAAGTCTCAGAGGAGTAGATTGTGCTCTGATGTGATCTATTTGCTCTTCATCCTGCTTGCAAGGGTGCATGGTTCAATCCTATGCATCTTGTGAATGGTCCAGATGCTAATTTGCACGTTGATTCACCTTCTTTGCCTTTAACCATTTGAGGGAAAGTGGATGCATCACTTCGACTTTGACCTTGGAAGTGTTAGTTGGCACTGTCTCATTGCCACATTTCTCTCTTGGAGTAAGTTAGCTGACAACATTTAAAGACAGGAAGGTGTACGACTTCTTTGATATTTGATGACGTCATATCTACATTTGTTGTAAGACAATATTGCATACCAATTATAACTCTACCAATTAAAGTGGTTAAAAGCTTGTGTTTAGCTGTGGTGATTTACATTCTTTGAGCTGTTTTGTTATCCAGGCCACTGGGTTCATTTTTACTGGTCATATTAAGTAGCTCTGACTTGTTCTTAAAGAAATTGTATCCCCCATCAATAAATAATATTTTCTGTAGCACAGGAAGGTCGCTCTGATCTTGAAACAGGCTGGGAAACTGTCAGCATTGAACAAACCTCCAGAGCAGTAATTTCACTCCCAAATATTCTGTGTGCTTTACCCAGCAGAGGTAGAAGTAAACATTTTGATTCAATGAGTGAGATGGCAAGCATAATCAAGTCACATTACAGCACATTGGCATTAGCAGTACATACAGTGTTTGCTCCATTCCATTTCAAAAAATTAAATTCAGCATATTCATCCTTGTCTGACAGCTAATTAGCAGGCAATTTCAGCCATCCTAAGTATAATTTCAACCCTGAGAAGCTAACCGAATATTATTTTGATTTTGAAGAAAATAGCCACAGCAAATCCGTGCATTCTGCTCCTTGGGGGGGAGGAATGAACCAGCTGCAAACTAGTGGAGGTGGCGGAATTGTTTTACTTCCTCTTTCTTTTTATCCTCCTTGAGACAGAGCCTGATCATATCCCGGCAGGCCTGGAACTTCCTAAATAACCCAAGCTGGCCTTGAACTCCTGATCCCTCTACCACCATCTCAGGAGTGCTCAGCTTATCGGCATACACCACTAGGACTACCTAGACATCACTGACTAGATGATGAATGTATGCGTACAATTGGATTTGGTTCAGTTAATTACTGGCTACCAGTAAGGCAACATCAAAGACTTGCTAGGACCTTATAAGGGATGGAGACCAGTCTTGGAACAAGCCCCTTCTATTGTTTTCTGGGAGGAAGGGGGGGAGGGAGGAGAGGGAGGAGAGGAGAGGAGAGGAGAGGGAGAGACCTTGTCTCCAAAAGTAAAATGAAGAGTGATAGAGAAAGACAGTTGATAACAACCTCCGCTGGTTTCCTCATGCATTCAAACACACATGAACACACACATGAACACGTTCAAATTCATAGAACGTGCCTTCACACATGGAGAATGTGTGGCATTCATACATTTTAGGTTCTTAGGTCCAAATCAATAGGTCCAAATTGTCTTTATGTGACAATTTGGCCACATGAAATCATGATATTTTAAAGCATTTACTATTCAAACTGGTGTGGAGAGTTGTGGGACGCAGCTACAAAGCCAGCCTGAGAGACAGGCCCAGAAGCTCAATACTGAACTCACAGGGCGATACTGGAAGACATCCAGGAAAGGTGTGCCTGCCTTTCTAAGCCTATAGTTTTGCTGGATAGTCCCGGACGCTCCAGGTAACCGGGAAGCCTCCGGCACCTGGATGAAAATGGCCTCTTGCCAAAGCAACACACCTGTGACCAAGCTTGAAGAGCTGAGGATCACTAGGACTCACACCGTGGTGTGGAGAGCTGCTTGTTAAGCTACTTTGTTATGTTTTCACCTGGGGAAGTAGTTTTTTTTTTTTTTTTGAAAAGAAGTTAGGCGTTTCCACACCTTTTTCTTTTTGTATTGATGTGACTTGTTTTTGCTTTGCCTATAAATAATGAACCCTGGAATAAACCCCCTTCCCAGCACTGTTTCAGTCAGACCGACAGCCCGCTCAAGCCGATCCCTGTGTAGTGTGATTTGTCCTCACTCCCCACTCAGGTTCTATTTGACTCTGCCAGCGGGCTCCAGCAACCTGGAACATTTTACTCGTCTACAATAGGATAATTAATGTTTTGAGCTTTGTCAGTAAGCACCAAATCAAAACTAACTGTTAAAAAGCACTGATCTTGTTGAGGGAAAGCTGTAAGAGGCGGCATCGCTTCCCTTAAAGGATCTCATCTTTGGCCAGTGCAGGGCCGGCTATGTTCACTTCAGAAGAATTCAATTGCATGAAAACACCGTCAGTTTGCGTCAACAAAGGCACTCAGCTTCTATGTGAACGAATAAGGTGAATCCTTACAATAAAAGGGGAATGATTGCTGAGGAACTCAGATGCCAATGGGTCATCAATGTTAGAGGTTGTTGTACTCCCTCCCTCTTGCAGATGGGGAACTGAGGGTCTAAGATGGGAGGCTTATTCATCAATACTTCAAATCTGTCCATACAGCCAGTCATGAACAAGATGCACTAGTTCTCCCAACAGTTTAAGTTTAGCTAGTGGCAGAGTTGGGACTCAAACCAATTCTCTGTCATCAGACTTGGTTGCACCCAAGAGACTGGTATTTATAAGTCTAACCTTGCCACCTCCTGCTAGCACGGGACTTCCTGCCCCTCGCACAGGGCCCCCTCTGCTATTTTGAGCAACCTCAAGGGTGGCTGGCATGTAGCCAACAGCAAGCCCGGTCAGCTCCCCAGCACACGTTCCCTGCCCAGCCCTGTCACCTCTGTGCTAAGTCCTGCTGTCTGCCACGCTGTATCCTCTAAGGGGAGACTGCCTGCCCTCCCCTCTAAGAGGACACAAGCCATGGGCTCTTGTAACTTCTGTATGAACTTCTTTTTTCTGATATCCATGGGAATCATGTTTGAATCCTCAGCAGAGTGGATTGGGAAGGCCTTCTTTGTAGTCACTCCTGCTAGTACCCCAAGAGTGTGTCATTGTGTCAGCTGATCTTCCCTTGGACCAGGAGGGATGATCTCTTTTCCTCACTCAGCACTTACCATGAGCTATGCGCTATTATGAGCACTTGATACGGCTCGGACATTGTTTAACATCCTCATAACATGGATGAAGAAGCTAAGGGGATTTGGAAAAAAAAAAATAGGACCCTATGGTCCCAGGTGGTGGGACGGAGATGGTTGGATGATGGTCTTCAGAATCCATGCCCTGGACCACTTCAAGCAGAATTGTCACTTAAGGCCAGGATTTTCTGGTCCCTGTACTCTGCCAGCCATCACACAGGCCCATCCATTTGGGACAACCTGCGGTAGGGCAGGGTGTTCAACACTAAGGCAGAGTCTTCCCTACAGCAAGGGTTCTGAGGTGCCCCGCCCCATGTGTGACCGCCTACATGGTAATGCTTGCTCTGGGAATGCTTTGCGCCTTTTGAAGGCAGCACAGTCCCCAGGCCTGGTTGCTTGGCTGACTCTACATTGTCTCTGTCTACATCCTATTCTTCTGCTCAAGGTGATGATGTTACTACTTTGTTTTCTCCCAGTAACTCAACACCTCAGACTAGGTGAGGAATGTTGAAGGAGGTTCATTTTGACTCATGCTCCTCGAGGTAACGCAGACAAGGAGCCACGTTTGATGCTAACATTTTTACTCAGTCTCACAGTGATACAAGGCATCATATGACAAGAGAGCTGGAATGTATGTGTGCATGTTCTAGTCTCTGCTATAAGAACCAGCAGTTTTCAGTTATGAGGGCGCAACACTAAAGATTTCCTTTAATCCCAACCACCCTTCAGAGCCCCGACCTTGAACTCATGGACAGACTGTATCTACCGCCTCTGTGCATCCTCATGGAGAGTAGTTCTCAGCATGGGTTCTGAAGGACATATTGTGTGGAGTACAGTGGTTTGGATCTCAAATGCTCTGCAAAGGCTTGTCTGCTACAGATTGACCCCTAGAATGGCACTAAAAGAAAACAGTAGGACTTTCAGGAGGCAGACCTAGCTAGAGGCTATTGGGTCATTAGGATATGCTTTTTGAAGGAGGTTATGGGAACTTAGCACCCTCTTCACTCTCATTTGGTTCCTGGCCATGAAGTGAACAGTTTTGTTCCACCACATGCTCCTATCATGGTGTGTTGCCTCACCACAGGCACAAAGGAAGGAGGGCAACCAGGCATGGCTGGAACCTCCAAACTGTGAGCTGGGGAAATATTCTTCTTACAGTTTAATTTTCTCAGATACTTTATTAGCATGGCGGACAGCTAACTAATATAGACATAATATGAATTAAACCATATCGGTCACCCATTTAATCACCACCAACTCAACATCAGGAGTCTCCAGGCATCAGAGCCACAAAATCATTAATGACAATGTCCAGAACTCCATCCTCTCTCCCTACCATTTCCACCTTGGCATGTGGACAGAATTCACTTTGACAAACACTGTTGGGCAGAGTGTTGAAAAGTTCAACCAGCCATAAAGCCAGGCGTTGTCGGGAAGTATAAGAATTAGAAGTTCACTGCCAGCCCCCAGAGCCAGGACAGTCAGTCCTGCTGCAGGTGTTGATAGGAAAAGCAAAGCAAGAACACTGCTCTGCATATTCCAGTGGGAACTTATATGAAAATACTAATACAGAGCTAAGTGTTTCATGAAGTGTCTTACACATACTTTGAAAGATCAGTATTGAGGGGTTGGTCTGGTGCTGTGTATTCAAATGCTAAATACTGGCCCCCAAGATCTGGTTTCAGTCCAGAGGGACACATTCTAGGGTGCTCCTTACATAACACCAACTAGTGTGATGTAAACCTTGCTCCCCTATTAAAGTTGATAATAATAGCTAGAAGTCTGCAACTGGACAGAAGAAGAGTAGGTGAAGCTTAGGTTCCTGGGCTGGGGCTACAGAGGATCTCAGAAGGGACCACGAGGCTGGAAGAGGAGAGAAGCAGAAGTCAGAGAGAAGGAAGTTGCCATGGGGCAGTATGGACCATGAGCATGTGGCCATGAGGGCTGGCCTGATAGAACAGAAGCAGCCCAGGCAGGAACAACTATGGCAAGTAACTTGGGGTGTACAGCTGGAAAATAGTTTAGAGGGTGGACATTTGCCCAGTTATTGAGCTTTAAAGCTTCTATAAGTCCAAAGGGTCTTCAATTCTCGATTCTTTGGGAACTAGCTGGAGTGGAGAAGCTCACTAGAGTCTCATAATTATTCCACAATACATCAGGACTAAGAAAATGGTTCAGGAATCCACCAGTGGGTCACTGCTCAAATTCTAAGGTTTCAGACAGCAAGAAGAAAGCAAGGGCTCTCAGGAGCTCACTGGAGGTGCAACTGAGAGCAATGCTTTCTGGAGAA